CAGCCCCGCTCTCGCCTGCGCCCGGGCGCGCCGCGGGGTGGCGGGAGAGCAGGTGTGTGCGCACCGAGGGGAAGTCGGGGATGGCGAGGGGATGCGGGGGACACCCGAGTCACCCCTTCCCAACCCCCCCCCACACCGCCACCCGCCAGGAGCCGCGATCGGGGCGGTCCCGGCGGCGGGGAGGAGTTCCCCCCCCTCCCCGATTCCACGCTTGACGCTGCCGCCGCCGCCGAGCGCGCGGGGCCGACGGCCGCCAGCTTTGAATGGACTTTGGAGACGGGAACGGGGGAGGGGCGCCGGGGATCCCCCGCAGGGAGTCCTCCCCCTCCCCCGCCCCTCCAGCCCCAGACTCCATCTGGTCACCCAGGGCTCCGATCCCAGCTCCTCCTGTCATGTCAAAGGCTGGGGCCCCCCCGTGGGTGGCGGGGGGAGGCTCAGCACCTGTCCTCAGCCACCTCCGAGGGGAGAAGGCAGGTTCGAAGCCAGCCTGGTCAGGGGAGAGGAAAACGCAAAATCCAAGAGATTCTTAGCCACCCAGGAACCTGCCAAAAAATAAAGCTGAAAGTGGAGCTGTGGCTCGAGTGGGAAAGTGCCCGACTTGATGGGGGGGAAAGCTAAGCAGGGGTGCTCAGGCCCTGAGGTCCATTCCCCGCGCACGCACGCGCGCGCATACACACACACACACACACACACACACACACACACACACACAAGCTAGATGCTGACTTATTTTCTCCTAAAACGACTTATCTTTCAATAGCTACTCGGCGTGCAGTTTCCATTGATAGACTCTAGGGAAATGGATTTGTTTCTCTGGCTATTAAGGAAGTGATTAAGCCGGGCACTGGTGGCTCATGCCTATCCTAGCGACTCAGCAGGCTGAGATCTGAGAATTGAGGTTCAAAGCCACCCCAGGCAAGAAAGTCCCTGAGACTCTTACCTCCAACCAACCACCAGAAAACTAGACGAGGCACTGTGGTTCAAAGTGGTAGAATGCTAGCCAGCACCTGGGACAGCACCCAGGCCCTGAGTTCAGAGCCCACAACTGACCAACATACACACACACACACACACACACACATCACAGCTTGTGTATTGAGGGCTAACACCCACATGGTCAGTTCTAACATCTCGGTCTTAATCATGATGCCTCTTCTCTCCTGAGTGGGTGCTTCATAGGCATTCATCATTTGACTCTCTGTAGATTTCTTTTCATATTTCTGGTTTCACAGAGTATGAACATGAACGCTTACCAACTGTGAACAGTGCAGACTGACTGTACTTGAATGGTTTTTGTAAAACATCAATGGAATGAGAAATATCCTGGATTGTTTATGTATGCATTTATTTTTAAAAACCCAACCAATGAAAAACAAAATATGATTCTCCCTGTCATCTGTTCTTTTCCTTTCTTACCTGAGTTCAATATACTATGATTGTTTTTTGTGTGTGCCAGTACTGGAGCTTGAACTCAAGACCTGGGCACTGTCTCTCAGTTTTGTTTTTTTTTTCCATTCAAGGCTGGCTCTCTACCACTTGAACCACAGCTCCACCTCTGGCTTTTTTCTTGCTAGTTAATTGCAGATAAGAATGTCACAGGCATGCCTGAGCTGGACTGGAACTAGATCCTCAGATCTCAGCTTCCTGCATAGCTAGCCTGAGTCGCCAGCAACCATCCTTCAAGAAGCATTAGTATTATGAATGAATGTGAAGCTTTCTCTACTGGAGTTTGCAGTGATTTACTCCATTTTTTTAAAATTGGGTGAGCCAACTTGATCACTCTGACTGTTTTACTTTGGAAAGCTCAGTGGAGCAGTTAGGGGGAGGATATTTTGATCTAAATGAGTCAAGAGGGAAGGCCAAATTCAAAGCAAGCTTCCTGAGCACAAATGACAAAGTAGAAAATGCAAGGTCAAGAATGTTCTAAGGATCAGCCTGCGATGTTCGACTCTTACCCAGGCTGACCCGAAAGGGGAAAGCTTTGGAGAGCATGCATACCGGGCACCCTTGGACCTTCCACCTCACAGGAAAAGAGAAGGAAAAAAATTTTAATAAAAATAAAAAGTAAATGAAAAGCTCCATCATAAGATCGGTGCTTGATCAGAAGAGGAAGCAATTCACAAAAACCAAAGCATTAACAGTTCAATAGGTTTGGAGCGTGCAAGCCATGTTTTCCTGTGGCTGTTGCTTTGGGGCGTTTGGTTATGCACTAAGCAGGTTCCTGGGGAAGCCCCAGCCTGGGAGGATGGATTAAGAGATTTCGCTCCAAGAGGCAGCAGACAACCTGAGCTAGGGGATCCTCTTGTGGCGTCTCAGAGAAATACCTCTCAGCCTATCAGCGTGCAGGTATTTAAAATCATCACATTACGCAACATACCTCATCGAATATATGATAGATACGGGTTTGTGTATCATATCTTAATAGATTCAAATATTCACACATGTTAAAGAATTGATTTAATTGGATGGAGCTGGGCTCCTCCAGTGGCTCATGCTTGTAATCATTTCTTATTTCTCTTTTAGATCTCAAATTTGCATACTCTATAAAACATTTAAATGGACTTGCGTAACATCTTTACCAAGGAGGCACCAATTACCCATTATTTCAGCTCTTCTTCAGGGCTATGTAATATTGTGTCATATGCAGATATATATATATATATATATATATATATATATATATAATTTTTTGCCCTGTAACTAACGGATGAGCTCAGGGCTTTGTAAAATTACTTGGCTTCTTCTACTCAAGGCTGATGCTCTACCAGTTGAGCCACACTTTTACTTTGATATACCTATACCTTTACTTCTGTCTTTTTTTCTTTCTTTCTTTTTCTTGTTTTTCTTTCTTTCTTTTCTGGGGGGAGGGGTTACTTTGATATACCTATACCTTTACTTCTGTCTTTTTTTCTTTCTTTCTTTTTCTTGTTTTTCTTTCTTTCTTTTCTGGGGGGTGGGTGGGGGCTGGTTAATTGAAAATAAGAATCTCATGGATTTTTCCACCTGGACTGGCTCCTTCAAGCCTCAATCTTCAGATCTCAGCCTTCTGAGTACTTTGAGGTTACAGGCATGAACCACTGGACCCTGGTTCAGGGTGAATTCTTTTGTTTTTCTTTTATTCTTTTTTTTCTTTTCTTTTTTTGTCAGTCGTGAGGCCTGAACTCTGGGCCTGGGCACTGTCTCTCAGCTCTTCAGCTCAAGGCTAGTGCTCTACCACTTGAGCCACAGCACCACTTCTGGCTTTTTCTGCTTATGTGGTGCTGAAGAATCAAACCCAGGGCCTCATGCATGCAAGGCAAGAGCTCTACCACTGAGCCACCTTCCCAACCCTCAGGGTGAATTCTCCATGTGAGCAAGAGTGTGTGATCTGAATATTTTTTGCAAAACTGTTACATTTGGGGCACAGATAGTACACAGGTTAACATCTTTAAAAAGAAAAAAAAGAAAGAAAAAAAAGAAAAGGCAAGCCAGGTAGGCCTCACTGATTCCTGCAAAGCACCAAAAACTATTCTTTGGCAGTGCAGCTCAGTTTTTGGAAGTCTTGAGCAATATCTCTCACCAGATAGCGGAAGAGGAGCTTTCAAAAGCTCAATGGACTTCTATTCATGTTCAAGTCCACTATTGGGTTTGTAACAGTCTGTAACTGTCTGTAATAGTGAGCTTTCTCCACTCGTCCAGTAGAGGGTGCACTTTTGCCAATGGCTTTTGTGGCAGGTCATCATCTCCTGGTGGCTTCATCACCAATGAATTTGCATAAGCCATGGTATAAGGATGTCATTTATTTCCCCTTGTCCTGTGGCTAGAACTCTGCAAAAGTGGGCTTGTAGTCCCCAATTTTTATAACTCCCAACACTTCTTTTACCTAATTACATCAGGTAATGCCTTCTGTGTGGTAATGAAAGTCAGAGTCGCCATCTTTTTTTTTTTTTTTTCCTATTGTAAATCATCACAGTGTAACAGAAAGGTCACTTATGGACTGGGATTATCAGGCAAAAATAAAAAATCAGGAATAAGGGGAGATACCCATAAATGATAATGTTTGAAAAATTAGAAATGGTTGTTGAAACCAGTCAAGACTTTTAAGTAGCTATGGGAATCATTAAATGATTTTTCTACACACACACACACACAACTTACATTGTTGAATTTCCCAGGGAGAGCCCTGCTGAAAACCAAATTTATAAGTTTATGTTCTTTTTCTGTTTTGGAATAATGTGTTTGACATGTCATCAGCCTTATGTGATCTTTGTGTTGGATATCTGCACATTTTGTAGCTGTGTGTGTGTGTGTGTATGTGTGTGTGCATCTGTGTGCATGGGTGTGCATGTGTGTGTATAAAATGTTCTTGAGAGCTTTTTCCTTCCATGGAAAATGGACCCTTTAACAATTCCAGGATTCTGTATGTAGATTTTACTAGTTAGTTATTTTGGGGGGAAAATGCCTAATAAATACACGCCAAGCAGTCTCTTATGACCTCTTCTCTTCCCAAGGATGGATAATATCCTTGCTCATTTTGTCTCTAATTTCCTTTATCCTTGATTTAAGTGGTTTGTATATTTTGTTTTATAAATCACTGAAGTTTTGATTCTTTAATTACATCTGTTGTTTTGGCACTCACTGCATCGTTAAATCCTGCTTTTATCCTTATTTACCTGTGTTTTCTTTGAGTTCGTTGGTGTTTTTCCATGAGTAGCTTCCTGTGTGAGAACTTATTTTTTGTGTGCATAATTTTTATTTATATCAATTCATGCTTACACATTCTTTTGGGGTGCTTTAGATGTATCTTCAAAGTTCAATTCCCTAAGGTGACTGTTTTGGATGATCCAATTACCACTGGCCTGTTCAGTATAGCTGTTTCTTGCTTTGAAATGGAGACCTTTAAACCCGTAGAGGCCAAGGTTTAAGACAGAAAACAACTAAATTCTGCAAGATATTTCTCCCTACCCAGGGCCACAGCTGAGCTTTGAAAGGTCATTCTAACATTCTCTTAGGCCTCCTGGGTCTAGAAAGTAGAAGGTGGCAGGGTGAAGTAGACTACTTGTAAAAGGGGTAATTTTGTGGAGATGCTCTGTGACCGTTGGTGAGGCATTCTAGGAGTCCTTGAAGCAGCACCATGTTCAGGGAAGGCAACTCCATTGGTACCACCCAGGCTATAATGGAAACAGTCCAGTATAATCAATTTGCTGCTGCATGGATGGCTAGTCATGCCAGGGTTCCGTCTCTAGAAAGGTGTACTAATTTCTGTCACTGGCATATCAAACACTCAGCAGTGACTGTAGCCAGACTAATGGAAATCCATAGCCCTCAGCCCAAGCCTGTCCTCTGTCTCTGCCGCTATGTACATACAGAGCACTCTCAGTAAACAAGAGGAGCTGAATGGAGGGGCCATTGGGGCAGATGGTGATGACCTTGGAAGGGAGATGCTGGCTTAGAGGCTCTGCTCCTTGGTGGTGATGGAAGACAGGAAAAGAAAAAGAGAGCCCAGGGTGTGCATGCTTGGGGACAGAGTGTTCTGACTTCATTATGAGTCTGCACAAACTATTGACCACTGTGACCACCAAGTCTTCGATGAAGCTGGTCTGCTACAGAGACGGACCTCCAACACGCTCCCTGATGACGCCACTGACTCCTGAGCCCTCTGGGTGGTGAGAAGAGCGGCTGGAGGCCAGGCTGAGCAGCATCCACAGAATTGGTTATTCCATCTGCCGATTCCTTACATCGTTCTCTACCAAAGTCATCTGTTCTCAGGCATCACAAGAAACACACAGAGTGTGCATGCGCTAAGAAGTCTATCCGCATACCCTTCCCCATACCACCCTGTCACTAACATGTCAGTTGTTCCTCTTCCCTCCCCCTCACCGCCTCCTCCCTGCATCTCTAACCATCCAGCCCCATAGCTACAGTAATGGTGATTAATCTTGGCTATGAAGGGAACACATGATTGTTACTAAGCAGTGATAGTGGGGATGTCTAAACAGAGGGTCTCTTCACCATGCCCTGTGATTCAAGCCCATCAAAGAAGCCAGTGGCTGGCACCAGTAACCCTAGCTGCTTGGGAGGCTATAATAGGAGGATCATGGTTGGGACCAACCCATAGGTGGGCATATTGTCATGTACTTGTCATCTGATGCTATGTAATAGGCTAAGATTGAGAGAGTCATTGTTTCAGGGTCAGTGAAGGCAGAAAAGTCCATGAGACTCATCTCACTGGGCTGAGTGTTGTCGAATATGTTCTTCATTTCAGCTACAATGGAAGCCCATAATAGGTGGATCACAGTCCAGGCACACAAACCTGGGTAGGAAGTAAGAGCCTGTTTCAAGGTGCATTGCACATACAATGGTTGGCTGAATGATAACTGTGTTGTACCACTACTTAAAGGCAACAAAAAAATGAAATAAAATAGTTTTAAATGCAAAAAAGGGCTAGAAGCCAGGATCTGCAATACAGCACCTGGCTTAGCAACCCTGAGGTCTTGAGTTCAAATTCTAGTATCACCAAAAAGAAAAAAAAAAGCCAATGGGAAACTTCAATAACCCCAATCAGGCTGAACTTGAGCCACAGCTCCACCTGTTTTTGTCTTTTTGTGGTTAATTAAGATATTCTCGTGGCCTTTCCTGTCCAGGCTGGCTTTGAACCATGATCCTCAGATCCCAGCCTTCTGAGTAGTGAGGGTTACAGCGGTGATCCACCAGCACCTGGCTTTTCATTTTTTCTGAAAAAAGACTTTGCCATTATAGAAGTTTGGAAGGGTAGATATATTTTGAAGCTCCAGCTTCCTAAAAGAACCCATGCTTAGATCAAAAATAGGTGACAGGATATTTCAGTTGGGTGTTGAGATAGGCTCTTGAAATGGATGGTGACAAAGAGATGTAATCATGCAAACCTCTGATGAAATGAATCTTTTTCGGCACATATCTTTCATCCCTTTCCAATCCTGCAAACCAGCTAAGTATTTGCTGTGATCAGAGTAATTCATATTCAAATACTTCACCATGTTTCCTCATGGTATTATCTTAAATGTTCCATGATTATTTTTTAAAGAAGATATTCAGACTAATTTTTAAATATTGAAAATTATCATTCCCCCCCCCCAGAGCTAACCATGGCATTTCCAATTTTTGCAAGAAAAAAGTACTTTGATATTTGAAGTTAGTTCTGACAATGGAGGTTAATATAGAGTAAAAGACTCAGCATCATAATTAGAGTTTCCTTTATGAAGGCCTGACAAAGCCATCATAAATCATTCTAATTGGTTGCCTGGAAGGAGCAACCTCATCCACATATTTAACTCCAGGCCAGGTGTGGTGATGCATGTCTCTCATCCCAGGTGGCTCATGACTGTCATTCTAACTACTCAGGAAACTGAGATCTGAGGATGATGGTTCAAAGCCAGCCTGGGGCAGGAAAGTCTGTGAGATTCTTCTCTCCAGTGAACCACAAATAGCTAGGAGTAAAGCTGTGGCTCAAAGTGGCAGAGTGCTAGCCTTGACCACAAAAGCTCAGGGACAGCATCTAAGACCAGAGTTGAAGAAACCCCAGAATTGGCAAAAATTTAAATTTAAATTAAAAATAAACCTCAATGCAGAGGAAATGGAAGAGTGGTTCAAATGATAGTGTACTCACCTAGCAAGTGTGAGGCCCTGAATTCAAAAGAAGAGAAAAATGATACTTGGCTACAGAAAGTTAGTGATATCTTTCTCTCTTATCTCTTTCTCTCTAAATATATATTCTCCTTTTCCCCCTTCCTTACCTCTCCCCATCTTCTCTGTCTCTGTCTGTGTCTCTCTCTTCCTCTCTTTCTCTTCTCTTTCCCCTCTTCTCTCCCCGTTAGTCCCCCCCTACCCCATTTCAGGGAGTGTTACTATAACACAAAATCATTCTATTAAGTCATGTTTATAACATCACAGACTTACAGGAGACTCAGATATAAAGAACTTTTTGTTTTTTAGTGTTGGCTTTTTGTTTTGGTGTGTGTGTGTGTGTGTGTGTGTGCACATGCATGTATGTGCACACACACCTGTACATACACAAAAAGAAATGTTCTAGGCCATTCTTAATATGTAATCACTCAACTAGGCCTTAAGTTCAAGCCCCATGACGAAGAAGAGAACAGAACTAATACTAATTGTGGGCTCACTTAGAATATTCTCTCTATTTGTGGTGATGTCAAAAGCAATACATTTACATACCCTGGCTAGCCAAGTAGAGCACTATAATTAATTTCTTGCCTTTCAATTCTCTCCCCAAGATGATTCTCTATTATGTTCTCCTCAAAAATAACAAATGGGGAAATACCTGCAACACAAAAATCAGACAGTGAAAAATGAATTTGATTTTTTTTCTCCAGTGAAAGGGTTAGCAGCACATAGAATACAAGGCCCAGCGCCCAGCTACAGCTCAGCAAGAGTTTTCTGTAACCAGAAAACTGTAACTGTTGAGAAAATGACTACAACTTGGTAAAAATGGCATCATTTCCTTCTGAGACTGAAATGTTCAAAATGTTTATTGAAGTAGCCATTTGGACATAATATTTTTTTTTGTCAATGATGGGGCTTAGACTAAAGGCTTGAGCTGTCTCTGAGTTCTTTTTGTTCAAGGCTAATGCTCTACCACTTGGACCATGACTCTACCTCTGGCATTTTTTGGTGGTCAATTGTAGATACTACCATCTCTAGACTTGCCTGTCCAGGCTGGCTTTGAACCATGATCCTCTGGTCTCAGCTTCCTAAGTAGCAAGGATTAGAGGTGGAAGCCACTGGCACTCAACTTGAAGAGGCAGACTTTGTGTTCCTTTATATTTTCCCCAAACAAATTCATGATAGATTTCCTTTACGTTACTTTTTTGTAGGCAAGGAAATGGACAAAATACAAATTAAAAAACAACTAGGATACAGTATCAGTTTTTTTTTATTTTTTTAATGAACATTTAAGAGTCATATACAAAAGCTAACAGAGCAATAAGTCAAACGTGAAACGTACAAGGAAAGAGAATGGAAATGAACTCAATGACAGGTTCTCACCACTGAAGCACTGTAAGCTGGCGGCATCGAATGGTGGTGTCTTGGAACAGCAGGTACAGGTGGAGTCAAAGGTCAAGAATGTCATCAAACCACTTGTTTTATTATCTCCGTATCTTTCTTGGTCACTGTTTAGTTAGTGGAGAGGTTAGGGTAGAGTGAGAATACATTCCTTTTCAAAAAAAAAAGAATTTTTTAAGGAGTTAAATTTTCATTGGAGAAAATACTTGATCTGCTAAATCTAATATACTACATACTTCTGTTATTAAATTTGTCTGCGTAAATAGTTTGCCTATTCTATTTCTTAATGCCGGCTCATGCAGTACTTTTTTTTTCTTGATTTTGGAACAGGAGGAATCTTCGAAGGCAATTATGGACCTAAATGTCCATCTTTTTTTTTTTTTTGTCTTAATGAGAGAAGAAAAAAAAAAGTGTGCTCTCTTGCAGTTGGTCAAGTAGGATTCTTCAGGAGCATTTCCTAAAATATTTATTTGCTGGGAAAATTTTGTATGAAATGACATTCGAAGTATAAAAAACATCATTAGGTTAACGCTTGGAACTGTGAAAAATAGACTTATCTTGTTTGTAAACTATCGATGTTAAGATACTGAGCGTCTGTCAGTCACAGCCTCCTGTTTTTTATTTTATTTTATTTTTTTTGTTTTCCTAGAAAGTTGTTGGCTTTACCAATGGGTCATCTTCAAAACATCTGAAGTTACATGTAGAAACATCAAGGCAATATTATTTGTACATATTATTAAACATGCAAAAAAAATTTTTTTCCTGAAAGAGAGTGCTGAAATTACAGAGAGTCTTTTGGAGCCCAGCCTCTCCTGGGTACCATTTGACCAGAAGTATGGCTTCCTGGGATTTAGGATGGAGGTGTCTTACTTCGAGGAGATGGCCCCTTTAATCACTGGCTCCCTATTCAAATAGGTGGCCCAGTAAACTAAATTAAAAGTCCCAAACAGGACAGGGAACACAATTCGGGACATTTTGTCAATCTTGCTGATGCTGTTGTAAGTCTTTTTGTTGTCAGAGGCCTTGTCTTCGGGAGGTTTTGCAGGCCCGGATGACACATTGGTGGTCCCTGCCGATACCTGTTCCTTGGGGATGTTTGGGGGGTGGTTCATCTTCCCAGTCGTGAAAGCATTGGTTGATTTGTTGAGGATGAGTTCACGTTCCTTTTTCTGCAAAACAGAAGGTGAATGTAAGGACCAGGTCATCTGCCAGGCAATGGACTCACTGGGGAGGGAGGAAAGAAAAGGTGATCGAACACCAGATTATTTCTAGGAAAGATCAGGCCTCCAGGGAGGCCTAAGTTGAAAGGCCCAGAGAGTCAACGATGGAACTCCTTGGCACAATCAATTCACCAGCTGAACAAATGAATTGCAAGAAGCGGAATTACGTGTTGAGGATGGACAAGGCCGCCAGTGGGTGGGTAGTCCAATGGAGAGAGTGAAGTCTAGATGAATGCACTCACGATATTTAATGTACACATATGGACACAGAATTTGAGGGGATGGGTGGGCTGGGGAGAGATGAGAGAGGATGGTGGAAGGGGTGACATGGATGGAGATGTGTCATACTCACACACTGATGTGTTAGATTAAAATCCCTTCGTACGCTTGGTACCAGTGGCTCACGCCTGTATCCTAGCTACTCAGGAGGCTGAGCTCTGAGGATCATGGTTCAATGCCAGCCTGGGCAGGAAAGTCTGTGAGACTTTTATCTCTAATGAACCACCAGAAAACCAGAAGAGGTGCTGTGGTTCAAGTGGTAGAGCGCTCACTTTGAGCTGAAGAGCTCAGGGACAGCGCCCATGCCCAGGCTTCAAGCCCCATGACTGACAAAAAAAAAATCCCTTTGTACAACTAGCAAAAAAACAATACAATAAGGTAAGAACAAAAGCTGGAAGTGGAGCTGTGGCTTAAAGTGGTACAGTGCTAGACTTGAACAAAAAACTTAGGGATAGCACCCAAGTCCTGAGTTCAGGCTCATGACCAACAAAAACAAAAACAATAATAATAAGAAACCCAAACCCTGTTTAAGCCAAGCACTGATGGCTCACAACTGTAATCCTTGCTACTCAGGAGACTGAGATCTGAGGATCATAGTATGAAGCCAGCCTGGGCAGGAAAGTCTATGAGACTCTTTTCTCCAATTAACTACTCAGAGAAAGCCAGAAATGGCTCAAAGTGGTAGAGCGCTAGCCTTGAGCAAGAATCTCAGGGATTTATTTGCAATAACTAGTATATGTCTGGGACAAGCAGAAAAGGTCAAAAGCTATGTACATATGACCAGATAAGATGATGTTAAGCGAAATGAACCCCAAGATAGAGATACAAGCTTTTTTATTTCTTGCTTGCTATTGTTTCTAACATATTTATAATTTACAATCTGATTTTTTTGTTGCTTTGTATGTTCCTCCCCCACTGTATAACCCCTGTTTTCACTGTATTTGATGTCGGTGCCCTGCATCTTGTATATACACTTCTCTCATTTGGGAAGGGGAAGGGAAAAAACAAAATGTTTAAATAGGGATACAGGTTGATCCATTGTAAAATGATGAGATGTACAAGACAGTATGTGAGAAAACAAACTTTACAAGTTAGGGGCGGAGCAGGAGGAGTGTAGTTGTGGAGATGGGGCGGGGGAAGGGATGGTAGGGGAAAAACAAAGGAGGAGGTAACAATGCTTGATAGGAAATATACTCATGACCTTGCTCATGTAACTGTAACCCCTCCTGTACAGTATTTTTATCATAAAAACATATATATGCAATATATATGTTTTAAAACATATGTAATATATATATATACATATCTATATAGATAGATAGATAGATATGTATATATATAATCTCAGGGACAACACCTCAGCTCTGAGATCAAGTCCCAGGACTGGCAGAAAGAAAACAAAAGAAAAAAACAATAAAAGCCTACAGGGTCAGGAGATGGACAACACAACTGGAGCAAAAGTTATCTATTATATTAATGTCTGGCATTTTGTAAACATCTGGCATAAACTTAATTAAGATGTTTCTAACAAGTGTTCCCTCTTTACTGGAAGGGTAGCTGTGAGAGTGAATGACATAGCTGGCTTTAAAGCAGACTAGGGAATGGCGAAGACAGAAAAGGAAAAAAAGATGGTGAAATATCATGACACCGGATGCACCTTTGGGATGGTGGGATGATGGGAAGCTCACTCAGCATCCTCCTTCTAGAAGTATCATCATTGCTGTCTGCATCCTGTCACCAACTAGCATTTCTTCTATTGTTGGTTTACACACACACACACACACACACACACCAGTAGTTCTAGGGCTTGAATTCAGGGCTGGGATGCTGTCCCTGAGCCTTTCCACTCAAGGCTGACACTCTCTCACATGAGCCACAGTTCCATGTCAGCTTTTTGGTGGTTAATTAGAGAGGAGAGTCTCATAGATTTCCTGCCCAGGCGGTCCATTGAATGCGGAGTTCAAGCCCCAGGACGGGCCCAGAAACAAACAAACAGCTACTCTTAGTTGAATCCAAGGATATGGAATCCATCGCTCTTTTGGGGGTGCTGATGACATGTACCTTTCATCTGAGCAGATGAGCAGCAGAAGTGAGCAGCAACACAAGAGCCAAGTGGTTGGGGTGTCCCTGGGGCCCCCATTAGGAAGGGCAGGCTGCATAGATGTGGCCAGCTGTCCTTCTGGGACAGGCCCTGCTGCAGAGAGCAAGCTGCCCGTGCTGAACCCCATTTTCCAGAAGCCGTTGACAGCTGATGATGGGTGGGACTGAAGACACGGAGGCCTGGCCACACTCCTCAAAGGCTTTGGCCTTGCCAGGCCTCGATCTCAACATCACAGCTTCTTCCTCTGCCCCATCTCCCTTCCTCTTGGTTCTTTCTCTGAGTTGCCTGGTCCTATATACTACACTTTGCATCCCCAAACTCTGATCCAACATGTGCTTCAGAAGATCCCAGGATAGAGCAACGGAGAATGCAGTCTATTTTTTTTTCAGAGTGTCTCTACTTCTCACCCACTGGTGGTTTCCGAGTGTAGACTAACAACCAGACTTACTCATTCACGTTTCCAAGCGTAGACTAACACCAGACTTACTCATTCACACTCTCTACCCAAGTTTTGACAGTGACCTGTGCCTTGCCCAGAAACTTGATGTTTTCCATACAGAGAATCTTCCTGAAAGGAAGAAGGGCTCTACATATCACAGCCTTCTTGAAGTTCCATAAGACTGACCAGGGTGCATTGAACAGTCTAGAAGACATGGGCTGGGCAAAGATCAGCGAGTTCCACACTAACCTCTATCCTCTTCCTCTCCACAAGGCCTACATTCACCTGCTCCACTTTCCTCCTGGACTCAGGATGGGTCTGATAGCTTCCATGAGTGCAATGGCCTCTTCACACCCTCTCTACTTCCATCTTGGCCAGCTCCAATCTATCATTGTGTGGCCACCATCCCAGCTGGCAAACATCTCCCTTCTGGCCACATGGAGTAGGGTGCCGGGCAATCTCTTCTTCCCAGACCCCATTCTTGTTCCTATACCGCCAACCTCAAGGAGCCATCACCAGAATCAAGTCTAACTGCTTCCATTAAGAGACTTAGTAGCAGCCAGGTGTGTTGGCTCAGGCCCTGTAGTCCTGGCGACTCAGGAGGCTGCGATGTGAGCATCATGATTCAAAGCCAACCCAGACAGAGAAATTCAAGACTCTTATCTCCAATGAACTAGCAGAAAAGCCAGAAGTAGAGGCATTATTCAAGTGGAGGAGCACTAGCTTTGAGCAAAAAAAAGTGCTATCCCAGGCCCTGAGTTCAAGACCCAGAACTCTCATACATATTCTCACTCTCTTACACACACACACACACACACACACACACACACACACACACACACACACAATAGATCCTGTGGCTCTGGTGGCACATTCACATTCATGAGGTGGCTCAATCCTAACCAACTTGGAGGTCTGAGATCTGAGGATCAGAAAGCCAATCCAAGCCAAAAAGAAAAAGAAAAAAAGAAAAAAAATCAAGAGACTCTTATCTCCAATGAACCAACATAAAACTGGAAGTGGAAATGTATTCAAGTGGTAGAGCACCAGCCTTGAGCCAAAAAGCCAAGTAAGATCATGAGGCCCTGAGTTCAGGCCCCAGAACTGGCATTCACACACACACACACACACACACACACACACACACACACACACACACACACACTGTACATTGTTCCGCTTGTTAAGCCCCTCCCCCATCCCTTTCTGTCCCCTCTTCTATAGGAGGACAGATCCTGCCAATCATTCCTTCAGAGTGGGAAGCTGGACATGGAAGTGGGAAGAGTTTCCTTAGGAAAGGAAGTGCAGGGTGTAATGAACCACCAAGTAAATGCTGTGGCTGGGGAAGCCCCGGGTGCCCTCCCCGGAGCCAGAGTGTCTGGCTTGCTGATTGGTACCCAGCCCCTGTTGGGAAGGTGAGCCTGTGTAATTGATCACCTTCATGATGATTTTCCTGCAGACAAGATTAACACTTCCTTTCAAGTCTGTCAGACAGGACTGGTCTCCACACCTCTCAGGACAAAGGATTTGAGTCTTTGATCCATGTGTGGTGTAATTAGCCACGTTATTGTAGGCTGTTTTCACTTTTCTATCTATAGAAGTGAATCTCATCTCACCAAAGAAATGATTCAGCTCAAGTTGTGTCGCAGTGATTGCTGTCATCGATTTAGGCACAAGTACTTGGTGATTCATGGTTTGCAAATGAATAATGCTTCTCACCAAAAAGTGAACATGCCTGCTTCAAGTGACCCAAACCATTTAGAGAGAGGCTTGGGTGGTTTGTCAGATGACTGTCGCCATATGACTCCCCTCTTTATGCCTGGAATGGCAGCTTGAAGAGGTCACACAAAGAATGAGTAAGAGCATTAAAAAAGAAAGAAAGGAGGAAGGAATAGAAAAGAATGAGCAAGAACAAATCATAGGATTAAAACCTGCACAAATCTTCTCTGAAGAGACAGAGATTATTTTGACCAAAACTATCTAATCATAATAGCTTGGCCTAAATACCCTACAATGGTTGAGTGGGTCAAGAAAAAGTAGTCTATTTATACAATGGCATTTTACTCATCTATCAGGAAGCATACCATTAGGTCATTAGAACAGAAATGGATGAACTTGAGAGGGAAAATTACATGAAGTGAAAAAAGACTCAGAGAGACAAAGGGTGCTTGTTTTCTCTCATCACTGGAAATTAGATCTACAGTATAAAGATATAGGAACACATATCACACACACACACACACACAAAAGTATGGGATAGTCAGGTGAGAATTTCAATGATGAAACACCTTTCAACAATTAACTGACAGTTTTACAGAATGAATACCAGGAAGCTGAAACATGTTTTGTCTGAGGAAGTTGGGGCTTAAGGGCAGTGACACAGACTAATGAAGAGAGGACCAGACACGGAATACATTCACATACTCAATGTACCTATGACAAAATGAAACGGGGTAACTTGAGGGGTCGGGTGGGGTTAGGAGAGATGGAGAAGGATAAAAGTTGTACTTGCAAACAGAAGTGTTGAATTGAAACCTCTTTGTGCAACTACTTAAAGCTAATTTTAATGGAAAAAATAAGCTGAATGTACATAAGTCCAAATTATATCAAGTTATATAATTATACATCATATAATATATTAATGGATAATTATATGTAATTATAGATTATACTATGTTATACATATTATATAATATAGAATAGATTATATATTATATAGTATATATTATTATATAGTATATAATTATATGTCGTATAATTATATATTATATAATCACATTATACATTTACAAAATACATTATACAAGTATGTAATCTATAAATATATATAGTTAATATTATTATATATATATTAAACATCATATATATTATTAACCTATAATATATAATTTTAGACTATATTCTATGTAACAACATGTATTATGTAATATATGATTATATGTAAAATTATATAATTAGACATCTATTCTATATATATGTGATATGCATTAGTATATAATTATATAATATATGTAATATATTATATACATATTATATGTTATATATTATATAGTTATATAACATATAGTATATTACATATAACATATATGTATATATTATATGATATATGTCATATGTTATATATATGATTATATATACTACCTAGCCATTACCTTGAACTTGGCTGCTTCCAGGGCTTTCTTTCCGTCCCAGGCCCAGCCTCTCTTTGTGAAGTAGTTGACCGTGGCAAACTCGATGAGGGCAGAGAAGACAAAGGCGTAGCACACCGCGATGAACCAGTCCATGGCCGTGGCATAGGCCACTTTGGGCAGCGAGTTCCGAGCGCTGATGCTGAGCGTCGTCATGGTCAGCACTGTGGTCACCCCTGTGGGACCAGAGGGGGACAGCAGGGGGAGGTGGGGGACACAGCTCATCAAGGGTCCCCAGGTCCCGCTACAGCCCAGCTGACCTGTGGAGGAGCAGGAGGAGGGGCAGGGGGGACCCTCCAATCCGGTATCTCTTCTGGAATGGGAGGAAAGGGGGAGAGCTTCTGTTTGGATTAGCACCCCTCAAACGCTCCCCAGAGAAAGACTTGATCCCTACCTGGGGACGCTACTGGTATATGGTGGAACCTTTGGGTTGTGGAGCCTGGTGTCAGCGCTTCGGGTCACTTAAGACACACCGCAGGCCCTGAAGGGGCTTCTCTGACTCTGTCCCTCTCACCCTTCCTCTTTATTTCTATTTCTCTATTTATCTTTCTTGGTTTCTCCTCTTTTTCACCCTATTTCTCTCTCCTTCCTCTCTCTCTTTCTCTCTCTCTCTCTCTCTCACACACACACACACACTACTGGAGCAAGAGGTCAAAAGCTGCACCAAGCATCCCTATCATGAAGTGCTATCTTACCACAGACACCAATCCACAAAGCCAACTGACTAATACACTGAATTCTCCAAAACTGTGAGTCAAAATAAAGTTCTCTCTCTTCCTCTCCCTCAACCTTTTCCTCCCTCCCCTCTTTTAGCACCAGTCCTGAGGCTTCAACTCAGGGCCTGGGCACTGTGCCTGAGTTTCTTTTGGCTCAAGGCTAGTGCTCTACCACTTGAGCCACAGCTCCACTTCCAGTGTTTGGGGGGAGAGGGGTAGTTTATTGTAGATAAGAGTCTCAGACTATTCTGCCCAGGCTGGCTTTGAGCAGCAATCCTCAGATCTCAGCCTCCTGAATAGCTAGGATTACAGCTGTGAGTCACCCCTGCCTAGCCAAAACTCTCCTTTTTCTTTCTTTTAAGTTGATTATTTCAGATATTTTGTGACTGTACAAGAAAGTTGAGACTTCAACCCAGAGGCCTCAGGCCTTCAACGCTGTCCACTGGGAGCGGAGCCTCCTGAGCTACGTTCTTCCACGCCGAACGTCTGAGGGATGTGAACCACTTTTTCTCTAGACGCTCAGGCATGGTTGCCCTCAGTAGTCACTGGGATTGCCTCCAGGGACCTCTTAGGTCCCAAGCCCTAAGGAAAGCTCCTCAGGTGAAATGACCTGTGCAGGTCATCTCTGCATTCCTTTAAAGCTTGTACCATGCAACACATTCATTGCGCTACAGCGGATGTTAGCAGAAGAGTCCAGGAATGTTCAGGACAGACAGAATTTGTCTCCAACATTCTCCATCTGTGCTTGGCTAAATTTGAACGTGCAGCACTTAGAGATCCCGGGGACTGACTGTGTGAATGTGTGTGCACACATGTGCATCCAGTTTATTGCTCTCATGTTACATACAATGCATCAATTGACACCCAGTGACTGATTTGAAAGGAGCATGCACACTTCTTACTTGGTAACTTACAAAAGAACATTGTGCAAACCCTACTGTACTCAGGCTGGAGATGTAGCTTAGTGATAGAGCACTTGTTTGTCCAGCATGCACAATGCTCTTGATACAAGTTTCAGAAGCATACATGCACCAAAAATATATGTATTATATGTATCATATCTATATATGTATATAATATGTTTGATATATATTATATTGCTATATGCATACATGATATAATGACATCTATAGCATATCTATATAACAGTATATTCATATAATATTAACATAATATATAATATATATCTATATATGCATCACATCTATATATCTATATGATATATATCTCATATATATTGAGTTGATATATCTATATCATATAGATTTAATATAGATATTATATATCATATATATGCTATAGATTTATAGATATGACACATGTAAAGCATAGATATATCTATCTATGTATATATATACATAGGTAGATGTCATACATAGATAAATATCTATATATTATGTGATATCATATGTATGTATGATATATAACATATGTATATCATCTCATATCTATATCAATATAGATATGTAGATGTCAAATTGATGTCATATATATCATGATGTATATACATATATATATATGTCATAGCTATATATCTATATCATGATATAGATATGAAATATGATCATATATAGATTTTATATATGTATGTGAAATCATTTTCATAATAGAAATATTCGAGTATTATTTCCTAAACTCATTCAGGGAGAAATCCCAAATCCTACTTAGCTTTAAAGTCTTTACTAATTAGTTGGGTTTCTTGCCAGGTCACAGAATGCACAAGGAAGCAGTGGAGGTTTGGTGCTAGTTAGCTTTCTGTGACTATAAGGCAGTACTGAGATAATCAAGGTTCTGGCTTCTGGTTTTGAAGGTTGGTTAGCTCCCTTGATTTGGGGGCAAGGTAGTGGGAATATCAAATGGAACGAGCCTTCTTACCTTGTAGAATCCAGGGTGGGAAAAGAGTGGAAGAGCCAGACTGACTCCCACTGCCCCTTCCAGCATATCCCCACAATGACCTAACTTGCTCCCCTTAGGCCCCACCTCCTAAAGCTTCCACTCCCACCCAATAGTGGAGGTCGGATGCCTTCGACATACAGGCCTCACACAGACATTTGAGGTCCTCACTACCCCTGTGGCACAGGTAGGTGCTTGTTTTCTTTGGGAACAGTTCGGGTGAGTCGCAAGCCTCCAACATCCAGCCTCTGCTTGGAGGCACTCACCAAAAACTGTCCTGGCTGGCACGGATTCTCGGTTGAGCCAAAAGGACACCTGGGATAAGATCACCGTCATGATGCAGGGCAGGTAGGTCTGGATGACAAAGTAGCCAATCTTCCTCTTCAGGTGGAAGTGAGCCGTCATGATTGTGTATTCGCCTGTAAGTATGCAAAAACAACTGCCTGTTAGTCCCTTCAGGTGTGACGATCTGATCTTGTTCTAATCAGAGAGGTTTGGGAGCGCATCCTTTGGCTCTGTCTTCCAGTTGCACGAGCGTTTGGGTTATTTGACTTAAGGAGAGGGTGGAGGAAGACGAAGAAGCTCTTCAGAATCCTTTTCCACCCTCTGCCTCTGAAGAGCTGCATGTGGATGCTTTCCCCAGAGAAAATCAGATCTGTGTGTTTCTCTAATCCCTGGGTCACAATCTGTGCCTGGCTCCCCTCCCCACTTCCCTCCCCCATGGCCGTTCCTGCAATCAGGATCTCTGGATTTAGCCTTTGGAGACAGACACAGAACACCTCAGAGCCCTGGTGTGGGTGGACGGAGTCTTCCTATTGCTCAGTGCCAGGGAGAAAGGGTAGCGATCATCTCTCCCCAGACTCTCTGCTCGCCCAAGTTCAGTACAGAACAGCCATTCGAGAGGCCCCGAGACCCTAGCCCTCCAGACACACACACGGGGTGTCCTGGCTTTTCCTGGAAATCGGGGACATTTCCTGGGTGATGTCCCAGTGCCTTCTGTGGATTTGCCTGGCGGTATGGGAGGCGAGCGGGGATCTCCCCTTCTTTGCGGAGAATGATGCTGTCCTGATGGTGAACTGGTAAGGAACTGAGGTGCCCTGGGAGATAGCGGGGTGGGGGGGGACCCTGTGGATCAGAGGGGAGCCAGGCCTGTTGGACCACCATTGTCTTCACTAACAGTCCCTGGAGAAATGAGAAGGATGTTTGGAGGAGGGAGGGCTAAGAGGGGCTGGTTGGAATTGCCAGGGGCAGGGGAAGCAGTCCTGGGATGATGGGGTGGGTCTCAGGTGTGGGAAGGGTCATCCGTTGGCTCGTTGGACAGGACAGGAGGATGTTGGAGGACATCCTGCTTGCGTACTGCATCCTTGTCCGCTTAGCAAAGCTGACCATGGGTGTTCTTGGGTGCTTTGCCTCTCAGGAGACTGAGGAGCCTGGAAGATGGATCACAGGATGTGATCAAACCAGAAAAAGGAGCCCAACGTCTCAGCAGTGCTAAGACAGGGTGCCGTGGGCTGGAGACCCCAGAGCTGCAGGACAGGTGGGGGGAGCAGGGGGTTGGGGATGGATGGATGCAGCTGACTCTAATCTGGGAGAAAGACACAGGGGTGAAAGAGAGGAAGGGGAAGGGGAGGATGCCTAATGGCCAGGATGAATTTGGCCTCCATCTTAATGCCCCAAACACGGTTCTACTTCTCGAGCGGTGTTTGGTTCTTTTCTTTTCTTTGGAGAATGTAAGTGAAAGACATCTCAGGTTTGTTTAAAAAAAAAAAAAAGAAGTGTTGTACACAAAATAAAACCATTAAAAACAAAAAGGCCCAAACGATTGTGGACAATTTCATGTGGTAGCATTCTGTCAGCACCACAATTTCTAACCCCAAACCTACACCCCACCGCCTCATCCTCCATTTATGGATGGCTCCATTGTCTCTCCCATTGGCACGCTAACCAAATAACATCCTTCTGAGGTATGGGCAGGGCTCAGATGGAGTGGTGGTGGATACATGTGGCAATGTCTCAAGGTATCTGTGGTAGAACCACCACAGATCAGGTGAATGGTGCTGGCCGAGTTAAGATTCACCAAGGAAGGGCTGTAAGGCTAATGTCAAGTCCTGTAACCAGAACTTGCTTTGCACGTTCCCTTTGCTAAATGATGACACAGTGGCCCTGACTCTCCCCTGTCACAATACCATCTTTTTTGCGGGGGAGGGGTTGATCTTGGAACTTGAACTTGGGGCCTGGATGCATTCCCTGAGCTCTTTTGTTCAAGGCTAGTACTCTACCGCTTTGAGCCACAGCGCCACTTCTGATTTGGGAGTGGTTGATTGGAGATTAAGGGTCCTGCGGGGACTTTTCTGCCCTGGGCTGGCTTCTAATCATGATCCTCAGATCTCAGCCTCCTGCATAGCTAGGATGACTGGTGGGAGTCCCTGGGGCCTGGCCACAAAGTCATTGTGATTGGTAGGAGCCAGCTTTGCCCTTCGCCAGGCATTACCTCTCACCACAAAATGGGAAGGCTCGCGGAGGACAAATACACATTATTCCTTTGGACTTCTTGTCCAATCACATGGGACCTACCAGGTGAAATCAGGCTGGATTCCCTCTTTTTCAGAAAACCATTCAGAGCAGGTGGTGGAGGAGCAGGTAGCTGGCTGCATCTGTTTTCCCGCAGAGATTTCTGCAGCTCGGTATTACATAAGCAGATCAACACAGCGTCCCTGTGGGGCCGGCTCACACAGTGGCAAATGTCCCTCATCCACTCTGTGCCCTGGGTACTGCAGCCCTGGTGTGGGTGCCCCTCCAATATGGTTCTCCCTGCCCCCATGATGAGGTATGGTGTGACCTCCTTCAATCCCGGGCTGGTAGGAGATCTCCTCTCACCTGTGCTGGTACTGATGTTCTCCGTGCCCACTGTCTGCCCCATGAGATGATACTGGTTCAATCTGGAACCGTCTTCTGCCACCACCACAGACTTGGTGGAACCATTGGTCCAGACATAAACAACTTCAGAATTTGGGTATGCATCTGGAAAGGAAGGGGCAGAAGCCGGCATTCACACAAATCGTTCATTCCGGATTGGAAAATACAAAGAGGGTAATCGGAGTAGCAAGAGAGATGGTGGCCATGGTGATCGGGAGGACATTTGCAAAGTTAGTGTTCAAGTGACACCAGAGTGTAAGATGGCCTGTCGCCCTTCAGCCCTTCCCATTTCAAAATGGCCGGGTGTGAAGCGCTAGAGCCCTGTGCTTTGGGTGTGCAGATTCCCTCCCTCCCTCCCTCCCTCCCTCCCTTCCTTCCTTCCTTCCTCTCTCTGTCTGTCTCTCTGTTTCTTTCTTTACTTTTTTTTGTTATTCTTGGGGTTCAAACTCAGGGCCTGAATGCTGTCCCTGATCTCTTTTTGCTCAAATCTAACTCTCTCCCACTTTGAGCCATAGGACCACTTCCAGTCTTCTGGTGGTTCACTGGTGATAAGAGTCTCCGGGACTTGTGCAGGCTGGCTTTGATCCACGGTACTCAGATCTCAGCCTCCTGAGTGTCTGGGATTATAGGTGTGAGCCACCCATGCCCAGCTCTTTTTCTGTGTAGCAGGGAAGCGAGCAGCAGCTCTGAGGCCGGGAGCCAGGGTCTCTGCAGCGCTCTGACTCTCAACCAGCCACTTTTCTGCGTGCTTCAGTCTATCTATCTGTAGAATGGAGGATGATCTCGGGGTCTCGGTATGGCAGCGTGCCTTGCAGTGTGACATTTGTGTGTGGGGCACCGCCGACATTTCTACTTTCAGCTTCCTTCTTCCTCTTCTCCATGATACACAGCCATCCTGGGGCGGCAGGGTGGCAGGGCTGGCAGGGCAAACAGGTCCTGTGTCCCCTGTCACACCTGCCAATGCATTACCTCACATGGCAAAAGGTACTGTGCAGATGGAATGGAGGTGATAGGCCTTAAAGGCAGGAGATTATCCCAGGTCACCCTGGTGGACCAATCTCACTAGCCTTGAGCTGAAAAGCTCAGGGACAGTGCCCAGGCCCAGAGTTCAAGCCCCACAACTGACAAGATAAAAACTATAGAAATAACATGTGTGTGTGTGTGTGTGTGTGTGTGTGTGTCTATGTGTTGGTCCTGGGGAACTCAGGGCCTGGGCACTGTCCCTGACATTTTTGGTAGTTGAGTGGAGATAAGAGTCTCACAGAATTTCCTACCTGGGGAACTATGAATCATGATCCTCAAATCTCAGCCTCCTGAGTAGCTAGGATTACAGGGGTGAGCTACCAGTTCCCGGCTCCTTGTGTGTTATTTTAATCCGTTAGGTTCTTCATCAGTTGTTACAGAAGCAATAGAAAATCAAGGTAGGCAAGCAAAAATGAAAGACCCTGTTCTTGAGAAATGTGTTCTGAAGGAAAGAGACAAATATCACACATGCACACATACACACATGATAGATAGATAGATAGATAGATAGATAGATAGATAGATAGATAGATAGATAGAATGAGATATGGCAGTAAAGTTCTTCGTAGGACTGAAGAGGAGGAGGCATAATTTCCTTGTAATTGCTACTGTTTTGAGACAGAGTCTTATTCTATTTCTGAGGCGACCTTGGATTTCACTTTGTAGCCCAACTGGCCTCACTCTCCCAATCCTCCTCCTACACCTGCCTCCGGCTGGGTTTACAGACTGATGGGTATGATGGTCCACCTTGGGGGGCAGAATCTTAAGTGGGTCGATCCAAGCCGGGCTAACTTAGGGGATCCAAAGAATGTTCAGGGTCCAGCCCTGTGGCCCTGGGGAGTAAGACAGTCCCAGACAAACTGAACAGCAGGTGCAAAGAGCCAGAGGCATGCCCGAAATGCTGAAGGAAAGCTGGGCATGCAGTGAGATGATGTGAGGGGAGGAAACAAGGCCAAAGGCCATTAGAAGGCATTTCGTTTTCAGCTGAGCCAGAAAGACACAGAGGATGGGATTTAGGCCAAGACCTGACCTCTTCCTACTTGGCAATAAAAGAACCATTGAGGCCTGATGAGACAGAAGCACAGGGCGCAAGACGGGAAAAGACAGAAATAAGAGGTGACATCAAAGTCATCCAAGAGCCAGTGGGGAGCAGAGGAGGAGGAAAAAGGAAGTGTATGCTTTCCCTCCCTCCCTTCCTTCCTTCTTCCTTCCTTCCTTCCTTCCTTCCTTCCTTCCTTCCTTCCTCCTTCCTTCCTTCCTTCCTTCCTTCCTTCCTTCCTTCCCTCCCTCTCTCTCCTTCCTTCCTTCCTTCCTTCCTTCCTTCCTTCCCTCTCTCTCTCCTTCCTTGCTTCCTTGCTTCCTTGCTTCCTTCCTTCCTTCCTTCCTTCCTTCTTTCCTCCTTCCCTCTCTTTCTTTCTTTTCCTTCTTTCCTTCATTCCTTCCTTCCTTCTTTCCTCCCTCCCTCTTTCTTTCTTTTCCTTCTTTCTTCCTTCCTTCTTTCCTTCCTTCATTCCTTCCTTCTTTCCTCCCTCCCTCTCTTTCTTTTCCTTCTTCCTTCCTTCCTTTTTTCTTTCTTTCTTTCTCCTTCCTTCCTTCCTTTCTTTTCTTTCTTTCTTTCTTCCTTCCTTCCTCCCTCCCTCTCTTTCTTTCTTTCTTTTCTCTTTCTCCTTCCTTCCTTTCTTTTTCTTTCTTCCTTCCTTCCTTCCTTCTTTCCTCCCTCCCTCTCTTTCTTTCTTTTCCTTCCTTCTTTCTTTCTTTCTTTCTTCCTTCCTCCCTTCCTTTCTTCTTCCTTCCTTCCTTCCTTCCTCCTTCCCTCCTTCCCTCCCTTTCTTTCTTTCTTATTTTCTTTCTCCTTCCTTCCTTCCTTCCTTCTGTCCATGAATCTCCATAGAAACTATGCTCAGTTCATACTGCAGGTAGATGTTGAGCAAAGTTCTTATCAGGCCTGTTTTAATTACCATGACCTTTTGTCAGTGTGTGTATGTGCCAGAAGTGGGACGTGAGCTCAGGACCTTTAGCATTCAGCCATCCTTTAGCATTTTCTGCTCAAGGCTATGTCACTCTACCACTTGAGCCAAACCTCCACTTCTGGCTTGTTGCTAGTTAATTGGAGATAGGATTCTCGAGGACTTTCCTTCCCTGAGCTGGCTTCAGAGGTCAGTTCTCCAATCTCAGCCTCCTGAGTAGCTAGGATTACAGGCATGAGCTACTAGTGCCTGACTAGCAGGACTTTCTGTTGTCAAGTTTAGGGAAAGTGAAGCTGGGTTTCCTATGAACAGCGCTCAGTAGAGTGCTGATGTCATGGTTTTCGTCTCTCCTGGGGATATGTATGTAACGCCGATGGTAAGAGTGTTCAGGGGGCTGGAGTGGGGTGGGTAATGTTGCTCTCTTTCTTTCTTGGAAAGTGGCCTTGAACATGTCTGCTCACATGCTTTGCTGGGCATGTACCGTGAATTGAGCCTCGTTATAGTGCCCGTGAGCTGTCTATCCTTTTCCGATGATGTAAATGTCGTGGTGCCCTGACTAATGAAAGGCTGTACAACTCAGGATTTGAGCAGAACAGCCATGATGGATTCTGGCCAGGGTAGAAATGTGGATTGGGCAGAGAGGAGGTTTAATGAGGCAGCATCGCTTCAGCAAGGAGCAAGTCCCACTTCCCGCCTTCCCCAGGCTTTCTCAGGCCCATTCCGTTCCCTTTGTCCTGGGACCCTGGCCTGGTCCTGGGACCCTGGCCTGGTCCTGGGACCCTGGCCTGTATCTATTCTGCCGTCCACCTCACACCAGACACACCACCAGGGCTGTGCATCGGGCCTTTGCCAAGGGCTCCCGGAGACAGGAAAGAGGCATTAGAAGTTTATTGAAAGATAAGCTTTCATGGCTCTTAGAGGGGTTAACTGGGGTGAGATGCACAAATCTGACAGCTCAGAAAGGAGCCCAAGGCTTGGGTCAGAATAACAAAGAACTTTCTTTTTTGGGTCGGTTGTAAGACTTGAACTCAGGGCCTGGGCGCTGTCCCTGAGCTCTTTTGCTCAAAGTTAGCGCTCTATCACTTTGAGCCACCGTGCCACTTCTGGGTTTCTGGTGGTTCACTGGATGTTAAAAGTCTCAGGGACTTTCCTGCCTGGGTTAGCTTTGAGCCACGATCCTCAGATCTCAGCCTCCTGAGTTGCTAGAATTACAGGCGTGAGGACCCTGGCACCCAGCTGGCTTTTGGTCTCTTTAGCTGGGATAACAGGAATGGTGACTTAGAGAACCTAGAAATATAGGGCTTTCCTTCTCCAACTGTGCATCAGCTGAGTGAGAAGAATGGAAACATTTTCTCTACAATCTATAGGGATTCATACTTCTCCCCCCGGGGTTGACACCATCTGATTTTTTTAGCATTGCAAACCCTGAGTGCAAGTGGCTTATGGTATATACACTCAGATCTTTTCTTTTTTGGTCAGTTGTAGGGCTTGAACTCTGGGCCTGGGTGCTGTCCCTCAGCTCGTCAGCTCAAGGCTAGCGCTCTACCACTTGAGCCACAGCGCCACTTCTGGGTTTCTGGTGGCTGATTGGAGGTAATAGTCTTACGGCCTTTCCTGCTGGGGCTGGCTTTGAACCACAATCCTCAGATCTCAGCCTCCTGAGTAACTAGGATTACAGGCATGAGCCACCGATGCCCGGCTATAATCAGATCTTATTTGTATTGCCTTTTAGAAATCAGGAAGTTGTTTTTTTGTTGTTGTTTTTGTTTTTGTCAGTCATGGGGCCTGAACTCTGGGCCTGGACGCTGCCCCTCAGCATTTCAGCTCAAGGCTAGTGCTCTACCACTTGAGCCATAGCACCACTTCTAGCTTTTTCTACTTACATGGTACTAATGAATCAAACCCAGGGTCTTATGCATGCAAGGCAAGCACTCTACCACTGAGCCACCTTACCAGCCCTCAGGAAGTTTTTACTGACTAGAAAGGAAATAAAAAATAATGACTCTCTGCACTGGTGGCTCATGCTTGTCATTCTAGCTACTCAGGAGGTGGAGATATGAGGATTGTGGTTCAAACCAGCGTAGGAAAGAAAGTCCATAAGACTCTGATCTCCAATTAACAACAGAACAAGTGGAAAATGGAGTGTGGGTCAAGAACTAGAGCACTAGCCTTGAGCAAAAGGCACTCAGGGACAGTGCTCAGGCCCAGAGTTTAAGCCCTAGGACTGTGGAAGGAAGGAAGGAAGGAAGGAAGGAAGGAAGGAAGGAAGGAAGAAAGGAAGGAAGGAAGGAGGGGAGGAAGGAAGGGAGGGAAAAAAAGAATCCTCCAGTTCTAATTTAATTGACTATATATTTTCCTGAATCTAGACATTATCACATGACTTAATCTAATATTTAACTCATTATTCCATGAATAAAATGAGCAAAAAATTTTGGGAACTTTTCCCCCTCTCCTTTCAAATCGTTTTCATCCGTTTAAGCACAGGCTTACAAATGGAAGCAAGCTGTGCTATTATCTTTCAGGAACTTTCTTTCAGACTAGGGAGTCTACCTCTAGAAGCTAGGGCTAATTTCGTTTGAATGCTTGAGGACAGAGGCAGCAATCACAGAGATGTCTGTTAATTCGCTTTTGCATTAGAAAAACCAGGAGCATGTGGCTCATTAGAATAACCACACATATTTGCATTCCTTTGTCTCCTAATAGCAAAGAACGGAGGAATTGGGTAATTTGAAACTCATTATACTCACACATTTAGCTTCTGCACGGCTGGTGGTACTAAGTGAACAGTTGACTGAGCATCTATTGTTAGTAAATCAAAAAGGAAAGAAAGAAAAATAAAGATAGAAAGGAAGGGGCAAGCACTGGTGGCTCATGCCTGTCATCCTAGCTACTCAGGAGGCTGAGATCTGTCTGAGGATCGTGGTTCAAAGCCAGCCTAGGCAGGAAAGGCCATGAGACTCATCTCCAATTAGGTATCAGAAAACCAGAAAATGGTGCTGTGGCTCAAAGTGGGTGAACACTAGCCTTGAATAAAAGAGCTCATGGACAGCGCCCAGACCCCTGAGTTCAAGTCCCACAACTGACCAAAAAAAAAAAAAGAGAAGAGTAAGAAAAACTTTTAGTTAAGTATTTCTTTCCCACAATATATGTCTAAGCTGGTGTCAGTTTCTCCTGCCTGTAATCTCAGCTACTTAGGAGGCTGAGATCTAAGGACTGAGGTTTGGAGCCTGCCCAGACAGAAAAGTCTGTGAGATCCTTAATCCTTATCTCCAACACCAAGGTCCTGAGTTCAAGTCCCAGTACGTACATATATATATATATATATACATACATACATGCGTACATATGTGTATATATACACATATACATATATTCACATATACACATTTAAAAATTATATAGCCTAATTCAAAAGCCATATAAGCTGTGGAAAGATGGTATTTGCATAGTTTTCTAGCTCATGGTCAATTGTATACAGATACACTTTGTAAATAAAATCCTTCTGTTCATTTAGTATATTCTAGTAATGATATTAAATGGCAAATAGAAATAAATGATACACCTCAGTATTGACCAAATTCATCCTTTTTGTTTGTTTGTTTGTTGCTGCTGTTACGAGGGCTTGAACTCAGGGCCTCTGGCTCTTGCTTGGCTTTTTCCACTCAAGGCTGTAACTCTACCATTTGAGTCACAGAATCACTTCTGGCTTTGGGGGGGTTGGTGGAGATAAGTGTATCCATGGATTTGTCGGCCTGGGCTGACTTCAGACTAGCGCTCTCTAATCTCAGCTTCCTGTTGAGCCAGGATCCTAAGATTGAGCTACCAGCATCCAGCATCATGTAGTAGAGTGCTAGCCTTGAGCAAAGAACCTCAGGGACAGAGCCCAGGCCCTGAGTTCAAGCCTCAGGACCTATACCAAAAAAGCATGTTTGTCACAAACTGAAAACTGCTTTTGAGTTACCTGGCCTACACAATATCACTGTTAAATCCAGGGATCACAGTAACCTGAATTCACTTAACCAGCGACCACAGAGACCCCACAGCATAGCAAAAAAAAAAAAAAAAAGTAAAATAAAATCACCATTCACTTTCAATCTTTCAATTTTTAAAAATCAAATAAACGCATAATTTTCATACACAAAGAATGGCATCATTTCAGACCATGTAGCTAATTTTCCTCCGGGTCTAGGAACAATTATTCTTCCATGATTTGACTCATTTGGAGCAAATAATTCAAATAAACCCTGGTCACAAGCTTGTCCATGCTACCATTCCCCTCTGATAAATGTCTACCTCTCTGTGGATCACAGTTTAACAAAAAGATGAAGAAGGAGGAGGAGGAAGGGAAGAAGAAGAGGAGGAGAGGAGGAGGAGGAGGAGGAATTATTATTCCCATCCAATCAAACATGCCTTTCCTCGTACATACATATCTCCCTTAATTCCAAAAGTGTCATTGAGATACAGGAAAAAAAATGCAATAAAACCCCTGGGGTCAGAAAGGCTCCACTGGCTGAGCTGGCAAAGTGACTTCCATGAGCTAAGCAAACATTCATTCTGCACACGGGGTAACAAACGACTCCCGGAAGCATTGGAGAGGGAGCAGAGACCAAGGAGGGGCTTTTCACCTGCGACATGGTGAGTCACACTACTGCGTGCCCACTGAGTTTCAGACAGAGTTGCCCAGTCCGGGTGGCCGGAAGAGCCGAAAGGAAGGATCTGGAATCCTTGGAGCAGCCAGTATTTGAACCAGCTGGAAAAATAAGATGTAAAGTCCGTGAAGGAAAGGAGACGCAGGAGGGAGCCCCAGAACTGATGTGTGCCCAGGGTCATGGGCACTGCTCAGATCTCTAACTCCCCCCTGCTCCGTGTGCTGGCATGCATGGAGAACAAGACTCCCTGGATTAATAAAGAATGATTTTGCCCTAGCCCAGCTAAGACAAGACTCTCCTGACATTTCAGCCTTTGTTTACTGAGGAAGGACAGTCTGGAGACTGAACTTAGCCAAGTTAATTGGTTATATCTATCTGTCTGTCTGTTGCTATCAATCAATCACACTCTCTATCTATTTGTCTATGATCTATGTACCTATCCATCACCTATGAATCTCATCTGTCTATCTATGTATCTATGCATCTATCCATTTACCAACTATGGCTGATCTGTTTATCTAAAGTAAGAAAAGAATATATACCCGAATTACATCACACTATGCTGTTTCACATACACCATATCAAATAATCTATAATCAAGCAAGTCCAGATAAAATCTATATAACCTATATCTAGATGTAGATATATATCTATATATCGATATAATCTGCATATCTAATAATCTACAAATAATCTAAATATAGTCTATACTCAATTGAGACCAGAGTCTCTGTGGTGTAACTGAGTGGCTCATACATCCCACATCCAGATTTTTGAGGGACAGATTTCTGTATTACATCACATCCACTCTCTCTCTCTCTCTCACACACACACACACACACACTCAGGTACCTCACAAAGCTAAGATACCAGGGGGGAAGATAAAAACCAAGAAAATAAAAGAGGCCTGGGAGGTCAAGGAGAACAGATCGAGTTGGAGCTGGTAGCCAGCGTACTCCTATAGTCCCTTCCCTGATAGCTCAGCTCAGTTAAAAAAGCGCTGAGAAAACTGAGATTCTCCCTAAGGAGGAGAAGACATAGACACAGCCCAAGTGTCCAGTGCCCCGACTTCTCTTTGGGCTACCCAGGACTGTCTGTCTGTCTGTCCATCTGTCTGTAGGACTGCTTTGTCTCAGAGCTCTGATGGGATCCAGAACAATCTTGTCTCCCTGGGACAGCGGTCACTGACACCTAAAAGAAGCCAGCAGGTGGATCGGACTCAGAGCCAGACACTACAGCCCACCCCAGCCCCACACACTATAGCCTGCCTCAGCCCTGCTCCACATTGGTGAGGAATCTCTCAGAAGGAAGGAATGGCAGGACTGGGCTGGGGCTGTGAAGACTTCATCTTTTCGGAAGGCTGCCCTGAAGCACAAGGCCTAATCTCATCTCTTCAGTTCTAAGTCTGTGCTTCTGCTGCTCCTACAAAGAATGGATTGGAAGCCATCTAGGGGGATGATCTGTCACCTGGGAGGAGGAACCCAGACCAGGCTGCCAGGAGAAGACCTGAGAAAAACACCTGCAGAGGAGCTCCTTCTAGATTGTTCTGTGCCTCCAGTCACCCTCTGTATGCTGGAGAAGCTGGTGTGGTCTTCTCACCCAGCATGCACCGCTTGTGTTACACGGAGCCTTCCGCGTGGACCCTCTGTCTTCCAAGTGGGTGCGGCGTTCACACTCCCCACCCGTGTCCCCACGGCGCCCTGTAAGAGCAGAACTTACAGCTACCAAATTTCAGAGGGCAGGCGTGGGCATCCATGGGAAAGTCCTCCAGCTGCATGGGGCACTCGGCGGAGATGGTCAGGCTGGAAAAGAAAAGAGGGAGCGCTTCATTTTGTTTATTTATTACTGATGGATGGATGGATGGATCGATCAATTGACCATTTGGTCAGTTGTGGGACTTGAACTCAGGGCCTGGGTGCTGGCGCTGCGTTTTTGTTTTGTGCTCAAGGCCAGTGCTCAACCCCTTTGAGTCACAATGCCATTTCCTGGTTTTAGGTGGCTCATTGGAAATAAAGAGTCTCACAGACTGTCCTGCCCCCAAGGCCTGGCTTTGAACCTTGATCCTCAGATCTCAGCCTCCTGAGTAGCTAGGATGACAGGTGTGAGCCACCAGCACCCCACTGAGATCTTTATTTTCATTTGTAAGTTTGGTTTTGTTCACATCTATGTTAGACCAGGCTCCCTGCAACTCACAAGCCTCCTGTCTCCTCTTCCCTTTCACGTGGATTACAAGCTTGTACCACCAAGCCTGGCTGGAGATAAAAATCCTTCAATAACTTAGTAATGGGCTCTTTCCTGAATAGCCATGTCATCCCAGAAAGCCATTGGAGTATTTATTTGATCAATCAATCTATCTATCTATCATTTATCTTTCATCTATTAGCTATGTCTATATTTATCTATTATCTATCTGTCATCTATAATCTATGTATTATCTATCTATGTATTATCTCTGTTGTCTGTCAGTTTGTCTTTTGTATCAATACTGGGGCTTGAACTCAGGGTCCTCAGACTCACTAGGTTTTTTATTCAAGGTTAGAACTCTACCATCTGAGCCACACCCCCACATCCAGCTTATTGTTAGTTAACTGGAGATAGAGTCTTGCAAACTTTTCTGCTCAGGCTGGCTTTGAACTACTCTCCAGGTCTCAGCTTCCTTAGTAGTTAAGATTATAGGTTTAAGCCAGTGCCATCTAGCCGGATGCTTATCTGAATTAATATCTTTTATCAAACTGTCTGCACTGTCTGTAAATTACATAAGCTTATGCTATAGATGAATATCTTTCAGAGATAATGCTTTAAGTCAAATCCACTCAGGAATTTTGTAGCTTAGTGAGTGTGCACATGCATACATACATAGACCACTGCTTGAATAATCATTTCCAGACACCTTTAAATTTTACTTATTCTTTCTTTTTCCCCAGCCCTTATTCACCATTATTGGAGCAACTTCCCTGGCAAGGCTGAAATGAATGCAGTTTGAAAAATATCATACAGGGTCAAAAGTGCAAATGTATAGAATAAACCCATGGTGAAAACTTTACCACAGTCTGGCTGCTGTCATTGTTCAATAAGCTTTTGTGGGCCTGAACAGTAAATGAACTTGTGCTTTAAGAGCAATCTCAGCCAGGTGCTGGTGGCTCACACCTGTCATCCTAGCTACTCAGGAGGCTGAGATCTGAGGATCAGTGCTTCCATCCAGCCCAGGCTAGAAAGTCTGTGAGACTCTTAACTCCAAAGAACCACCAGAAAACCAGAAGCAGAGCTGTGACTCAATGTGGTAGAGCACTGGCCCTGAATAAAAATAGAGCTCAGGGACACAGCCCGGGCCCTAAGTTCAAGCCCCACAACCAACCACCAACAAAAAGTAATCTCCCGGTACAAGCTTATTATCTTTTTCATCTAAGCCTAGCCTCCCAAATAATAGTATAACAATCATAGCCAACAATAACCTGGTATACTGTGGTGATAATGGCTGATACTGTGTCACATCTTCATGTAACCATAGCAACCACAGCCAGGTCTGAGGCTAGTACCTTGGAGGTGTAGGGAGGAGGAAACGTAGGCATGGATAGTGTTGCACAGCCAGCCTCACGGCTGTGAGCAGAGGTCTGGGAGGAAGTGTGATCAAGGAAGGGGAGACAGATACAGAGAGCAGGGTGGGCAAACGCAGCCATGATATTCAATGTAGATACGGGAACTTGGACGCAGGTGAACAAAAACTCCTCGAGGGGAATGGGCAGGGCTGGGGGAGGCGGGAGAGAATGATGGAAGGGACAAGAACGTGGCTGGAGATGCGTTGCACTCTGAAACTGACTGGTTGCATTGCAATCCCTGGGGACAACTACTTAAAGATTGTTACGTAATTGATTTAACGATGAGAAGAGGAGAAAAGAAGAAGCCAGAACACTGGCAATAATGCATCCGATGGTACTCCTCTGGGGAGTGGGGTGGACCTGGGTGTATTTTAGTTACCTCCTGTCCCTGTTTATATTTAGTGAAAAAATTCTGTTACTTATATTACACCATTGACAACTTTTTTGACTCCCTTCAAACTGGCCAATGGTACAGTATCTGTGAACCTGAGTTCTGACCAATCAGAATGAGGAGCACCATTAGGGTAAAACTTGGCCAGACTTCCTGCCAAGTGTGCCTGCATAGTTGAAATTTTTGCCAGTCACACACCCTTCTGCAAAAGCCAGTGTTTCCTTGTTTAATTCCTTTGGCATTGGTATCCTTATTCCTACCTAGTACCCCAATACTCCAATACATTTTCAACAGTGAAGCCCTCATTGGGCACTGAACGGATTTAGTGACCTGACTTTGGACTTGCAGTCTTCAAAGCAGTGAGCTAAATAAATCTCTTTTCTTTGTCCATTACCCAGCATCCAGTATTTTGGTATAGCCCCAGAAAATGCACTAAAAGATACCCCTGTATGTCCCTCTAGACTTCCTTTTACTAATTAGGTAAAAATTCTACATCACATTCATGAGCTCACCTCCTAGTCCTTGTTTTCTTTTCCAACAGAAAAGGAAACTAAAATACAAAGCAGTGGACTTTTAGAGTCGTTGAACCATTGAATGTTGTCATATTAGCGTCTTTATCTAGTTCTAGTATTATTAAATCTAGATGTTGCCAGAATGGAAATGAAGTCAAAACCAAACCAAACCTTTACTTCTTTTCTAGTTAAAGCAGATTTACTATGAAATTGGGTGTGTATTTCACACGTGATCATTGCCAGTCTGGGTAGTCAAAGTATGCACTGTTTGAATGAAGCTATGGGATGTGAGTGGAAGTGGGCGGGGAGGGGGTTGTCTTTCTGGTGGTAGAAAGGAGACTGTCTGTTGCCATGGTGAGGGAAAGTCCCCAGGGATGGAGTGAGTCCCTGGAGGGCCATTAGTTCAGATGGACAAGACACCTGAAATCCTCCATTCGGGAAGAACTTTTTCGTAGTATCCTCTCCTCTCTCTCCCTCTCTCTCTGTCTATATATGTGTATATATACATATATATAATATTTATATAATATATATTATATAATATTTATATAATATATTACTGTGTATTTATAAGAACTTATTAAGTTACAGAAGAAAACTGCAAATATCTACCATTTATGTGTATGTGTGTGTGCATGTGTGTGTGTGTGTGTGTGTGTGCATGTGTGTGCATGTGGGTGTGGTGTGTGTATGTGTGTGTGTGTGTGTGTGTGTGTGTGTGTGTGTGTGGTATGTGCAGGTAGGTCCTGGGGCTTGAACTCAGGGCCCAGGCACTGTCCTTGAGCTTTTTTTCCCCCCACTCAAGGCTAGTGCTGTACACTTCTGGCTTTTAATGAGTAGTTTATTGGAGATAGAAGTCTCAAAGCCTTTTCTGCCCAGGTTGAGTTTGAACTGCAATGGTCAGATCTCAGCTTCCTGTGTAGTTAGGATTACAGGCATGAGCCACCAGCACCCAGAATTTACTTATAATTTAATCTGGTGTTTGGTCTAGAGTGTGGATATCTATACACACACACACACACACACACACATACACACGCATACACACACACACATACACATACATATATATTCTATTTGGTATATATATACATATATTCTACTTGTTCTTGGTATATAAAGCATAGTCATTTTATAGATGACATCAGAGCATAGGTATTTCACATATCACTAATATCTCCATGTTATCTCCATGTTATTAAGACCTTAAGAGGCTAAATTTTAGGACAGGGGCTCTTGGCTCACACCTGTAATCCTAGCTACGCAGGAGGTTGAGATCTGAGGACTGAGGATTGAAATCATCCTATATGGATGAGACTGTGAGACTCTTGTAACTTCAATTAACTAGTAGAAAGTCTGAAGTGGAGCTGTGGCTCATGCCAGTCTGGAGTGAAAAGGTTAAGAGACAGCACCCAGGCTTTTAATTCAAGTCCCATTACTAGCAAAAAAGGCTAAGTTTTTCATTCTAGCATGCATGGATGGATGTATCAGAGTCATAACAATTAATAAACAAATATCAGATGTTTACATGAGGCTTTGTTTTGTCAGTCATGGGACTTGAGCCTGGACACTGTTCCTGAGCTTTTCACTCAGGCTAGCACTCTACCATTTTGAGCCACAGCACCACTTAGAGTTTTTGAGTGGTTTAATTGGAAATAAGAGTCTCATGGGACTTTTCTAGCCAAGCTGGCTTCAATTGTCGATCCTCAGATCTCAGCCTCCTGAGTAGCTAGGATGACAGGTGTGAGCCACCAGTGCCCAGCCTGTTCACATGATTTTACAGAATTAAGAATCTACAACTGCTGGGCACTGGTGGCTCACACCTGTCATCCTAGCTACTCAGGAGGCTGAAATCTGAGGATCACTATTCAAAGCCAGCCCAGGAAGGAAAATCCATGAGACTCTCATCTCCAATTAATCATAGAAAAAGCCAGAAGTGGTGCTGTCACCCAAGTGGTACAGTGCTAAGCCTTGAGCAAAAGAAGTTCAGGGACAGTGTCCAGGCCCAGAGTCCAAGGACCAAGAATAGCAAAAAAAAGAATATTTTGGGATGAGTGTGCATATGTGTGTGTGTGAATGTATGGAAGTGGTGTGGTGTGTGTCTGTGCTTGTGTGTGCACGTGTGTGTGGTTCAGGGAACAGGAGAAAAGATAATGTCCAAAAACAGACATTTAGCTGGATCTACTTTAAAAAGAAAAACAAAACCACCTCTTTAAAATATTTCCAGAATAAAAAACAGAGTTATATGGACAATTAATATCTCAATAGGTGCTATTATTAGAGAGACGTGTTGATTATTTTAT